CACCAAAAAGTATTTTTTGAAATTGGTCTACAGAATCTGGAGAATCGCGTAACATACATACAAAAGAAAATAAAAAATATCAGTTGAATTGAGAACCTCCTTTTTCTTGACACAAAACATAAATATTTAACTTTTTCTATACCTAAGTATTGCAATGTGAACTAAGCTTTATACTTTTCACGTGTGTTACGTCACACAACTTTGTAACACACGCAACATACGTGAGCAAACACTCGTGAAGAACATAACCTAAAATTCAGGTAGCATCTTTACTTGCAAAGCAAATCCGTAATAAACTGCATTATTTAGGAATATTTAATGTCTTTTTCAACTATATATATTACAAAACAACTTAATGTCATTACTTACCTTGCAAAATTATTTCCAAAAGTCTCTAAAATCCAATGACGAAAAATAACACACACCAAGTACTGCCTACTGCCCGTAAACCAAGATGTCTTACAAAACACTGACGTTTCATATTGAAAGTTATAGTGTTGCCATTGTGAAAAAAATGGATGACGTGTTGCTATTGCTTTTACAAAAAAAGCTGCTATGTAACACAGTTTTTGTAACACACGTGAATCAGATGGAACACATTTGTTTATTCAATCGTTTTTTAATTATTTTTTTACTAGTTTTATTACACTTATTATTAGAACAGTAGTTTTATGCAATTACATTTAGCATAACATTAAGAAATCACGATACTTTATTCAAACGATGAAGTAATGAAGAAAAAGAAAATGTACTACGCATGGACACATTTTATTTTTCTATGAAATTACATCTCACCAACTTTTTGAACCAGTTTGTTTTTGCTTATATTAAAAAGTATTCACAATTTAAATGGAGTAATATTAACAAGCGAATAATGCCCAATACAGAAAATAATCAGATTATTTACAAAGAACTACCAAAAAATATATTATATATTCTTGAATTTCGGCACGTGAAAAATATAGACGAAGTACATTTTTTGTGAGCCTCAACCGGATATGAATGAAAATATTTTAATTTTTAAACAAGACTTTTTTTCTGTAAGTTAAGCAAGAATCTTTTATTAAAAAAATAAATTAGTGTTTCTTTCCTATATTATATCGTATAATTTTGTAACGAAATTCCGACGAGTTGACTTAGCTTTCTTCAGGGAAATTAAGATGAAATGGTAAATGAAATTTTTTAAGAAAGTTTGGTTGCAAGTTTAAATATACTAGAAACCTAAGGCTTGAAGGCCTGTTAGCAGGTATGTCATTCTATTTTTAAAAAGTAATATTGAAGTACCTATCGAATTTTACAATAAGTATTTTTAATAAAATTGTTGTCTAAATGCTAATTGATACGTACGTGTATTTTACTTAGAAACCATATTCGGCAGAACGTTCACCATAACAACCCATTCAATTGAAGAGAGAAAGGTGCATAAGAAGATAATGTTATAAAATCATGAGCCATCACTTACAAACTAAATTACCCGCATTCCAAACAAGCTCACGCTTTTTCTGCCAAACGCACCCAATGTTCCGTGTTGACAGTACACGGTCAGCAATGCAAATTATATTAAACTCGTTGTGCGTTTGTAAGTGACTTGACCGATTGAAGTTGTATTTCACGCAATATATTTGTTTGTCGAGACGATGGTTCATAGTTTCATAGTTCATTCTAGGACCTATCGGATATCTAAGAGTAGTAGTTAACAGTTATTATCTCATACGTGGTAGAGCCATGCTGCAGTTATATTAGTAGTATAGTTGTAGCACGATTGTGACGGCTCGACCGAGGTAGGACCACGCCCTCACAGAATACCAGCGTAAAATTGCTGCTGTGTTTCGTATGGTGCATGTAGAGAACCGGAGACCCTTTTTACTGGAAACCAGACATCCTAGTCCTCAGGGGAGACAACGCATCTGCATTTTGATTCGTAATCGAAGATAGATTTAGATGTCTATGGGCCACAGCAACCATTTACCATCAAGTGGTCTGGTCTGTGTGACTGTTTGTCACCCCCTCCTATAAAAAAAATTATGGATCAATATGATTTGTATCTCATATTTACAACCATAATTATGTTCTTTTAGTGCAGAAAAAAATCACTAAATCTGTTCCTGATTCTGAATCTGTTATGGTGGAGTTGTGATTAAATTTGAATTAAGAGTGAGTCATTGCTTGGAAAAGGCAGAACAGAACAAAGACAGTTCAAATACAAAAGCATCGTGGCCAGGTGGAAAGCATACGATATCATGTTGATACCGTATGGATACAGTATCAGGTTGTTATAAAGTTGATATCGTATTCTGATTTTCTTTTTCTGTTACATATTTTTTATATATTATTTTTATTTTTAGTTGGTGTATACCAAAACCTTTTGTACACATACGTCACAAAGCTCTTAACGCACTTATTACCTACATCTATATTATTCCACTACAATACTATCAGTTTTGAATTCCTGCTGTATTCATAAGCAGATTTCTATTATTTTTATAACAAAAGGTAGCTTCTAAACTAGCTCTAAGAAGAGGCCTGTGCCCAGCAGTGGAATATAGATATATAGACTCTATGGTAAATTACACCACTGCATTAATAAAAATCACGAATTATAAGAAAATAAATAAAGTAATAAAGCTCGGTAGGTAGTAATTGTTTGCTCTATAAATACTTTTATCGCAGTCCACCTTAATAACTTAATTTTATTATTATTAATTTTGATTTCGCCTACTATTTGTGAGGCCACCGGCAGTTAGATGAATTAGGACAACAGTTCTTTGGACTAAACTTTGGTTTAATATTGAAAAAGATGTGCCGCAATTTGATATGCGTCCTCCGATAACTTTTTCTACTCTTTTTTATTTTTATCACTTTACTAGTTACGCAAACAATTTCTCGTACTATCTGTACGCTATTGATCTTCAGTCCAATTATTTGTAATACAGTATTGAATATTTTAGCAATAGTATGGAAATAATATCAATTAAAACCTTGAAGCCGTAAGAGATTGATCGTATGTACAAACAAGGCGATTCAGTTAATATAATAATGCAAAGTAATGATACGAGCCAAAAACATTCTAATTTCAATAAAAAAAGATAGCTGGGTGTTATCTTCAATATGTTGCTCATGTGCAAAGTCTTAATGTAATTGCCCAGTTATGTATTGATTCTACCTTTGAATTTAAATACCACATAGACCATCTGTGTGAGTAGAGTGTGTTAAACTAATGTTTGTTTTCACAACGATTCGTCCTTTTGCTGATATGAAAGTTGTAAATCAAGTATATTTCAAACTATATTAATCGATTGGCACCTTTAGTACAACTACATGGAGAGGGGCAGCTAAAAGTAACACTGCTACCAGTGGAACGTGAATAAAGAGTTGTATTAAAAGTTGCAACATTTCGCCTCTTCCCTCCTTTTCCTTCTTTTACATAAATCCTGTTATGTCCTTTAGTGTAAAAATTTATCCGTTATAAGTGCGTTACTAAACCCGCACTTAAAATTGCACTATAGAAGACTTATCACTGGTAAAAGACGCAAAGATAAAATGAAACTAACATTAGACTACTTAACGTTAGCATTCGTTCGTGCATAGATTTTCTTTTACATTCCTTGGCCCTTTTCTGTAATATATAAGTCAATGCAATTTTGTATACCTACGTATCGATTAAAAGTGGCAGATTGTAAAAATGTAATTCGAACATGGTTTCAAAATTTGTCATACGATGCCTTCCGTGGCACATACTTGTTTGTGTATATATTATTACATTTGAGATACAGGTTTATCCTAGATCAGATATATAGACTACTTTTAGATTAAGATTTTGTTTGAATTCATTGTAAAATTGTAAAGAATAAGAAATAATTAAAATCGATTCGCAGTTAACGAAGATATGAAGATATAGCTTAACATAAAAAATTGGTTGACCCTGCAGGCGATCACTGGCACTTCCCGCTAATTTTAAATGCAAAGCACTCCAAATTTTAACAAAATATGACGTTAAATATGAAATATCGGAGTAATTTAAAAAAAAAATCGATTTTTCAAAATTTTTGGTCAACTATATCTCACAAACAAATCAACAGTTGATTCGTGGTTTTTCAAGATTAAAAGGAGATTAGTTTTTCGAATCGAAAGCCGTTTAAAAGTTATCCAAAAAAACAGTTTTTCAAAATTTTTATTTTTGAAATATCTCTAAATATATTGGTCCGATTTAGTTACAATTCATAGAAAATCTAAGTTTGATGAAACACTTTGGAAATCCGCTTAGATCATTTCAATCGGTTCAGCCGTTCAAAAGTTATGAGGTTTACATACACACATATATACAGACATACAGACACCATCGAAAAATTGTCAGGGTGGCTTCCTGTGATCTCAAAACGTCCAGATTTGATGGAAACGTATGTAAAACGTAAAACAGGGTAACAAAACATTAACTTCTCGATTTTTGAAAATTTTCAATTTTCTTAGCGGCAAGTTAAAAAAAACATGATATTTGTTTTTGCAGTTTAAACGCGGTAGAAGTGAAAACTTTTAGAAAAGGAGATAGAAATAATAAAAAAAAACATGGTATACCTGTATTTTATCTCATCCTCTCCAGGCTAAATACTATAGATGTCTGTCTCTTTTTGGTGTCGTCTTTTCATTTCATCGAGTTTCAAATCATAACGATTCTAAAGAAGTTTCCACTTCAAAAACCGTTTAGTAGAATTGAGAACCTCCTATTTTTTTGAAGTCAGTTAAAAAGTAAGACCAACACTTAAAGCCTGAATTAACTTATTGCAATTTTCAAGTTGTACATTAAAGCACCACTGAAAAATAAACAAGATCGGAATTCCCCATTTTGTTTCCCTCAGCGGTTTATTTATGTTTTCATTTCAACGAGTTCGGAAATAGCAGTAAAATTTACTCGTTAGTTCCTGCAAGTTTACTGTGTCAATTATTGTTGTTCGCACAGTCGCTTTGTTTTTGTAATTAAGGATGTTTCGAAAAGTGGGTCAAACCTGCTGCGGTAGAGTCCGGCGGCGGCTGGAAGTGGAATGTTGCAGCGAAGCCTTGTCCTGGCGTCGCGGAGTTTGCTGTGAACTGCAAGAGTAACGAAGACCCAGTAGACAGTACTTCGTAACCTAAAATAAAAAAAGAACCACTAAGAACTTTGAAAACGACGGTGGACGATAAAGATTACCTTAGCAATATCTTTAAATTATGTTTATTTTACACTTAAATATTCTTTTAAATAAAACTAGTTTTTACGGGTTTTATCGCGTATATTAACTTTTTTTATATACCCGTGTGTATGTACATAGACGGGTAGTATGGTCACTTTACGCTTTGCAGCCATATAGAACCAAAACTAGGAGGACAGAGACAAAAACACAAAGTCGTATACTATAACTAATATATAAAGAAAAAAACTAGCAAACAAACTTTGGCAATAATTAGGAAAACTTTGAAAAATCAACTTAAAAAAAACTACACTACACCATATTATAATCGACTAAAATATTTACTATAATGTCAACTATCAAAATAACGTCCATAAATCATTGACCTATTTGACCCTTTGTTATTTGATTGACTGATGAAGAGCTATCGTATTACAAAGCCATCTATGCAAACGTGGCTGTAGTTTTTGAGTTATAAGAAAGTGACCATATTAACCGATAGACCATATTACCCTCATGTACTCTTACTTAACTCATCATTTTGTTGTAAAATGGTGTTAAAATACAAACTTTAAAATCAATTTTGCCTTCTTTATGTAATATTGCAAATTAAAAAAGTTTTGAAAACTTTTTTGTAACTTATAGGTAAGAGATAACCATGAAAATCATTTATTTTATCAGTTTTTCGATTTCGCAAACAACTTGACCAGAAACTGATCATTCCTGACATTGCTCTCTGTATGCTGGTGAAACCTCATCACAATCGGTTCAGTCAGAATAAAGATAGAGAGACAGACAAAAATTTTTGCAAAACTGGTTAGTGTGTATATATATTTTTATTCTTGAATTGTATGCTTATTGCTCTATATAATATAATATCTATGTTCTAATATAAATTTGAACTTTATTAGAAGGCAGTTATTTCCACATTACTGATCGATAATTTAACTATAACACGTGAGGGTAATATGGCCATCCGGTTAATACGGTCACTTTCTTATAACTCAAAAACTACAGACTTGTTTGCATCAATGGCTCTGTCATTCGATAACTCTTCATGAGCCTACGATAATAAAGGGTGAAAAGGGCGCTGCTTTATCGACGACATTGTGACAGTTGATATAATAGTAAAGTACCCGGATGACCGAGCTTTGCTCGGTTTTTTTTAAGTTACATTTAGATACAAATTACATTAATAATATTTTTTGATCTTATTGACATAATAGAAAAAACTGAACTGGTTATTTGAATGAAAATCATGAGTGCAATTAGCTTAATTAAAATTTTTCTTATTTTTAAAAATTACTAAAAAAAGGGCTCGAAATAATAGATTTTCTCACAAAAAGAAGGGAATTTAAAAAAAAGGAAAAAAAAGCCGGACCGAAGCCGGGACGCGAATCACGGAACTCCGATATTACGCCCGACTGACATCCCACCTGAGCTATTACGATCATTAGTAGACTGTCAAAATTTACCTTCCTATATTGTAGCAGTTTTTTATTGCCTAAAAACACGAACAAAAGGACATTTTCTAAAAATAAATCCTAGCTAAATCGATTTATTGCCCCCGAAACTCCCCTGGACACTAAATTTTATGAAAATCGTTGGAGCCGTTTCCAAGATTCCGATTTATATATATATATATATATATATATATATATATATATATATATATATATATATATATATATATATATATATACATAATCGGTATCTTGGAAACGGCTCCAACGATTTTCATAATATTTTCTAAAAATAAATCCTAGCTAAATCGATTTATTGCCCCCGAAACTCCCTGGACACTAAATTTTATGAAAATAGTTGGAGCCGTTTCCAAGATTCCGATTATATATATATAAAATTATTTAAAAAAATTTATTAATTAAAAAACGATTTTCATAAAATTTAGTGTCCAGGGGAGTTTCGGGGGCAATAAATCGATTTAGCTAGATCGATTTATTGCCCCCGAAACTTTAGAAAATATTATGAAAATCGTTGGAGCCCTTTCCAAGGTTCCGATTATTATATAAAAAAAAAATATATATATATATGAATACAAGAATTGCTCGTTTAAAGGTATAGGATATTTTAGTTGATTTTAGTAGTGTATAGGGTAGTTAGTTTTTTTAGTTGATCTTTCGAAGTGTTCGCCAAAGCTTGTTTGGATTTTTTTAAATATATTAGTTGTGGTATACGACTTTGAGTTTTGTCTCTGTTTCTCTTTCTAGTTTTGATTTTAACTGGCGGCAACAAAGACGTTTAAAAACATCTTAGGGCGGAAAAGCTTAAAGTGACCATATTACCCTGATGTACCTTATTTTTTTATAGGATAGAGTAACAAACGAGCACACAGTCCACCTGATGGTAAGTGGTTGCTGCGGCCCATAGACACCTACATCTACCCTCGATTACCAATCAAAATGCGGATGCGTTGTCACCCGTGAGAGCTTAGATGAAATGCCTCGTTTCCAGTAAAAAGGGTTTCCGGTTCTCTACCCTCACCATACGAAACACAGCAGCATTAAGCTACTATTTGACGCTGGTATTCTGTGAGAGCGTGGTTGTTCCCCGGTCGAGCCGACTCATTCGCGCTACAACTGTACTACTAATATAATGGCTCTACCACGTATAGTGGTACCATTTTATGTACTTACATACAGGTACATTGTATAAAGATATTCAGCATTTAGTCATAATTTGGTTTGCGAAATAGGTTCCCGTAATAAATGTTTGCAGTAATTTATCACTAGTATGACATTCAATGGAATTTTTTCGTAATACCTACCATTTTAGCCACAAAGACCTTAATGGCTGGAGTCGTTATCCGTTCACCTGACTTCGCTCAGTAAGCTCTTCCTAACGCAAAACGCTGACAAAAGCATTTCTGCAAATGACAGACCGTAAACTAAACTATAGTACGAAGTTATAGCATTCCAATAACGTACGGAGTTTATTCATTCGATATGTACTACTGACTCGAAGCCGACTTTAAACGGTACGGATGAGCGGAAAATAAAAAGTTTATTTACGGAATACTACATCCGTCACAGACAAAAACAGTCGGGATATGAAACAAATAATATGAACGTCTGACTCGGTTTTGATCTTTTTTTCTCCTGAAAATGTTATATAACTGCGAATAATTTTTTTTTTGTAAAGAAATGAATCTAACAAATCGCTTCACCTATATGTTTGTTTCAAAATGTTCACCAAAAATTTCACATAAAATCATCATACTCCAATAAAAAAACTGCGATTACGATGCCTGCCAAGCATGGCAACTATGGCAACTATCTCTCTTGCGCTTTATGATATTTCTTGACGAAGGCTATGTTCCACTAAAACCTTTGGTAAAGAATTTAGGGTCCGTAAGTCGTCTATCATATTATTGACATATTAGAACTGCTCTGCGGTGTTTTATGACTGTTCTGCTGGACTTCTAGCAGGTTCTTCCCAGGACAGAGATTCTTTTTTCGAATAAGTGGTAGAGTAAGAATATAATAAACTATTTTATTTATTTAATATTCTTTATTGCACACCATACAAAAATTATAGAACTTTTATATACAAAAGAAGTATGCAATGCGGTGTTATTGCTGACAGCATTAAGCTATATTGAATAAAAAAATTCTATTCTATTCTATCACTTTTTCACATAAAACCAGGGGAAAATGTTGTGTTCCTTTTAACTGTAAACGAGGAATTCTTTCGTAGTTGTCAGTGGTCACACTCAATGTTGTCACAACTGAAAATGCAGATGCGTTGTTGCCCCCTGAGAAGTAAGATAGAAAAAAGTAGATGCCTATACCATAAATGTAATTTTTTTACGTGGTGGAACCATGCTGAAACTATATTGTAGTTTTAGCACGAATGAATTGGCTCGACCGGGGTAGGAATACCAGCGTAAAATAGTAGCTCTATGCTGCTGTGTTTTGTATGGTGAGTGTAGATAACCGGAGACCGTTTTCTTTGGAAACGAGACTTCCATCTTAGTGCTTACGGGTGACAACGCATCTGTATTTTGATTCGAGTTCGATCGATAGTCGAGGATAAATGTAGATATATATGGCCCACTGCATCCACTTACCATCAGGTGTGCCAACTGTGTGCTCGTTTGTCAACCTATTCTATAAAAAACTTGTTAACAGTGAAAGTGGTTTGCGGTTCTTTACACCATACTATACGACACACATATTATACGAAACACAGCAGCATTATTCTTTTGTTTTATGCTGGTATTCTCTACGAGAAAATGGTCCTATCCCGGTTAAGCCCACCTAATCGTGCTGCAGATATGCATCTTGCTATATGCATGGCTGCAGCGTGGCTCTACCACGTAAAAACGTTCTTCAGCGTTGGTCATAGAGAAACACTCGAAGTTACTCAGCGGGGTATGTTGAGGATTATGCTGGAAGATTTATTTGATAGAATTAGAAATAAAGACATTCACAGCAGTACAAAAGTAACTGATATAGCCCAATGGATCAGTGAGTTGAAGTGGCAGAGTGCTGGCGATATAGCTAATTATAGTACAACACAAAAGGAAAACTGGTGATCCAATTGCACAATTCCTCAGGAATCCCATAGGAAGAAAGCTTTGTAAGAAGCGCTTTGTGTCAAACCCGATTGAAGGCTTTAGCTATGTCCAAACTAACTGATTGAAAAGCAACTCATTTCCGATGTGGAAGAAAGGTTCTGAAGAAGCAGCCTCGTACCAGTAAGTTAAGTGTAAGATGACCCCTTACTAGAACTAAGGCATGCAGGTCAATCTTTCAATTGGTGCAGGTGACTAAGGATTGCGTTTTGTGATATTATTGGGGTAGGCCTTTGGAAAGGGACTTGTGATTGGTTGTATCATGATAATGATGATAGGTGGCCAGTCAGTTGAGTCTCCACAAAGCGGGTTTGTGCTGGTCCCGTGCATGGTATTAAATTTAAGGCTAAAAATGGGACGTCCTGCT